GTCCAGCCGGTCCGGCCGCCGCGGCCTGCCCACTTGGAGACCGTTTAGCTCCTTCCACGTCCCATCTTTGGAGGTAGGGAAGATAAGCTGACGGACGGCACTGTAGAGGCCTAAAGACAACTCGTGGGACTAACCATTTCCAGGAAAAGCATCGGCCGCTTTTGGTATTGTTGAGTAGCTCCCCGCACCGGGGCGCGCGTCATCTTCCGGTTCAGGGCCGAGTTCTACGGCACGACTTTAAACAGATTCAGAAGCTTCGAAGACCCAGGAAGAGCTCAATCCGTCAAATAGTTGCAATTTAATAAAAGCAGCACACTAGGTCTCTTATTTGTTTGTGTAACATCTGTGGCATCTCCTGAAGGGGTACTCTCTTTTTTGGCCAAAAGTATAGCTTTTATAAGAATCGGCCTGGTAAACTGTGACGTTCCTGCGCTTGCATTCATCTGGTTTAACGAAAGGGTCCAACCTGCCTGTCTGTCAAAAAGGACAGCGCTCACAAACGGACGCTCCCAGGAAGGCCCTGCCGCAGGTGGAGAGGGCAGTCCAGCGAGGGAGCTGCAGGGAAGGGCCTGGCCCGCCGGTCCACCTGCGCGACTGTCCACGGCCGCCCTGGTTCTCGTGTCCCTGCACACCGCCCTGACGGCGGGATCCCGGGGGGGCCGCCCCAGGGTTCCCCCTTAGACGGTGCCCCGGAATGACTGGCGGGGCATTCTATTAGGACTGCCTGATTTTCAAGGAGTTGGGGTTTTTATGGTTAGTGAACCTGAAAATATGAATGAGCCAGCCTTAGAGACGGAAATAAAGGAATCACGTTTCTTTAATTCTGGGAAGTCGTGTCTTCCCCCCACAGGGGCTCCCCCAGCTGCCTGTTCGCTCTCGGAAGCCAGAGGAAATAAATGCATTGTGGAGAACACCGCAGCAGCAGCTCTACTTGAAAAGCGTGGAAGAGCAGACACCGCAGTGTGGCTCTCTGCTTTTGTCTCCGCACTGGGTCTGAGAGTGGTTCTTCCTGGCCCCCTCCTGGCCCCGGGGGCTGCGGCTGCCTCTGCCCCAGTGCCTCAGAGGGGCACACACTGACCTCACCGGCGGGTTTTGCGCACCCGGCGGCACAGCTCTTGCGGAGTTGCTCAGGATGATGACAGGCCCTGAGGACCCAGGGTGCCTTGCCTGCCTAGAAGCTGCACGTTCCCCGAGGGGCTGTTTATCTGGTCATTAATAGAGCGAGCCCAAGGGTATACTGTGCTTTTTACTCGGCAGGCTCCGGGGGAAGTAAACCTGCCGGCTGCCGGCCTGGACCTTTGAAAGCACCTCTGTGGGCAGAGCGC